ATATATATATATATATATATATATATATATATTTGATTAGGTCAAATCTTGTATTCGTTGTATTATTCCTCAACAGTGTGATATATTATTACAGCCATTGAATTTGAATTTATGTCATTGTCGTTTTTTAATACAAATGTTAACATTTATATATTTAATTGTGATTATCTGGAAAATGTTTTTTGTTTATAGGTAGTCAAAATCCTGATTTATTTGAGGTAGAATTACCAATTGTCAATCAAGACGAATGCAAACGTAACTACACCTCACCGATTACAGATGACATGATCTGCGCCGGCGCCACTGGGTACGACTCTTGTCAGGTAAGATGAAGACACGTGTGCTCATACGCCTACGTAAACCCATGGCCGAAACTGGACATTTCCGGAGTGTAAATCAGCTTAATAACTGACCAATCAGAGCAGGACAAAGACTACGCACGTGCCCTACAAACACATAATAACAAACGCACATGCATTAAACGTACATTTATGCTACTGTGTAACCTTACAACAATATCCAAGGGGCGGAGCTCAGCGAAAAGATCGATTAACGACCCTACCCTACCAAGTCCTTGTAGTCTGGTTGATTTATGCCAGAATCAAGGCCGGGGCTACCAGGGTAAAATCTTTAATAAAGTTTTGATGGTATCAATCGATGCGCACGCGTGTTCTCTTTAACGTAGCGAAACTCCTCTACAATCCTCCTTTGGAGAAAAAAAAAAGTTGTAGCCGTTTTAACATAAAGCCTCCCATTTTCAGTTAAGCTACAATGATTTCTAACAGATACGGTACTTAAAGCATAGGCATGCATATTGTGAAAAAAAAACGTGTGAAGGCTCGTAACCAAAAATTCATAATTAAGGTATCTAGAGAGTCAGGAGCAACAAGTATACTCCATGGTTGGGTTCAGAAGAAGGGTACAATCGGTGGCGTAACGAAGAGGCCGGAAGCCCCTGGGCAGGGGCCCTTTTAGGGTCCCTGACTCTGGGGACAGGGGGACCGCTCCGGCGTTTTTAGTGTTCTATGACGTATTTTAATGCCGTTTCAATTTACACATTTGAATTCTAAGTTTATTTAGATACTAAGAAATCACTAATAAACATATTACAATAAATAACAAATCAAGTCAATTAAAAATCAATAAATATTTATGAACAAAAAATATGTATCATGCTCATGTGTGTCAACAATGCTTTTGATCATGGTTAGCATACTCGCGCAACTTTTGCAAGTTTTAACAAATCGTAGACTGGCGATAGGCCTAGTGATGATAATAAAAATGCCCTAATCACTCGGCAGACTTTGGCTTTGAAAGGTCCTTGGTTACTTATTTATAAATATAAATACCTGATTTTTTCTGGGGCTCTTTTGATGTTCCGGAGCCCCTGGTTTTAGCCAGTGAAACTTCATAGACGTTGCGCCTGGGTACAATAGGAAGGGGAGGAGAAAGGAAAGAAATCTAGCATGTAAATGGTGAATTTCATCATTTTGATGGTATTTAATGCATGCTCGAAAGAATAAACTTCGAACCAGTGTGTGCTACGTTACCGAAAAATTGTTTTGCTCGAGCGCCACCTGTAGTGTTATTCCAAACCCATGATCCTTCAATAATAGACAAAATTACATAAGCTTAAAATAGATCACAATTACAGTAAGAGCGACGTCGTGTGTTCAAAATACAAGGCATGTTTCTTTTTTGTTTTTTTTTTAACCAACTACTAGTCGGTTCACGGCCGTGCCGTGTATTGTCAAACACTTTTCAATTGTGGACTAATCTAGGTGATTAATGAAGGTGTCCTATTGAACCAGTATATGACCTCTAATCTATCTTTCCATTAATAGGCATATTGTTTAATTCCTATAGAAAAATTGACATTTTACCTGGGTTTTGTGGTTATACAAGGATATCCATGGTAGTGATTTATGCCACTGAAATATTATACTGTACTTTAGTACCATTTACTGAGTCACTACACATAAATTAGCCTAAATTCGGTTTGATTAATTCCCGTTTAGGTAGTTATCGCCACAAACATGGGCTAAAGATTTTATTTTTGATGTAGGGCCTACATTAAGAATTAGAAATTAAACGCTAGGCCTATAATTAATGTAAGTCTATAATTAACTCGTGTGTTCATTTTTAGCCATTTAATATTTTGGAATTGCAACATACTGTGTTGTTGGTTGTATTTGTAGATTAGAGAAAACGAATAATTTTGGATTCTTTGGCACACATACAGGATGTGGTTATGTTGTTAGAACTCCCACCTAATAATATTACGATATGATAACTTTACATTTTGCTATGAAAACGTTGTTTTGTGTAACCATAAGTAACCGTTTCCTTTTTACGCTTTTAGACGAATGTCGCATGTTCTCAGATTAAGATACGTTGTTTGGGGTGGGGGGTGGAGGAAGGGCCTGATATTTTACTACAGCATTCTTACATTATCGGGTTGTTATCTCTAGGGTACTGCACGTATAACAACGATTGCAAGCTCTAGAGGGCGTTTTCATAATGCATTTGCTACGGCTGTTTATCTTTCCATTCAATGTAAATTTCGAACGAAAACAATTTTTGTTAAAATAACAGTTCAACTTTTATTAAAATGTTTGAGGGCGTTTTTAGAATTGTACCACGGACAGTGAAAAGTACTGTCAATCGTTACACGCTGTCGCTTTTGGCGATGCTGATTAGTCGTTCAAATCGGGGCACCTTCCCGCTATTGCTTCGGGAGTGCTGTAGGCAGTACAGTAGGCCTACAACGATTGCACTGATAACACCGTAGCGATAGTGTAGCGATTGTATGGAAATCAAGCCTTACATCGGCAACATAAAAGTCGGTTACACGCTGGTGGATTTGCTAAGTCCTCATTTCCTCACCCATGGAGTATTAATCCACAGAGGAATAAAAACTATTAATAAACCTCTAAATTTTAATAGTCTGAACGACAAATAGTATTCCTGTGTATCCAACTGCTTTATGGCTTAACATTCTATTTTAATAGTTTTGATATAATGCGGAAATTAGGCTATTCATAATTTGTCTAGTCAAAGCATTACAAGACGAAGCCCAACCAGCACCCCTCTCCCCACCCCCACTCCACACACAAATTCTTTTAAAATTATTTTTAAAATGAAGAAAGGAATATTTAAGTTTAAGAGTGCCATCTAGAGGTGCCATAATCAAAAATGTTCTTACCTCAGCCCCATCTATGATGGGCTAAGGTGTTATAGACCTTCGTCCTGTGAAAGTCTCTCCCTAGAGGCCCCTTCTATTTCGAATTCCTGGATCCACCACTGTAATAAGTCCAACGTGAAATAATTGATTGCTTGGCTGTCTGAATAATTGATATCGATCGATCGATTAATTATTTGATTGATTGATTGCGGACTGATTGACTGGTTGACAAATTTACTGACGGACTAATTGACCGACCGACTAAAGATCGAATGACTGATTGATTGACTGACTGACTAATTGCTTCTAGCTCAATTGATTGAATGATTAATACTCTAATTTATAAAGTGCACTTAAAGCCTTTTTTCCACTAGGCGAATTGATTCGCGCGAGCCGAAAGCGTCAGTTCATGATGCGCATGCGCATTCACATTTTTATCAGTTTGTTTTTTGACTTTTTGCGCGAAGCGAAAAAATGCGCAACCAATAAGAGCTCAGGAAGCGAACCGAAGCTTTTGATTCGCGTGAATAAATTCTAGTGGAAGGCTTGATGCTATGAGAATTGTCCAAGCAAATCATTGTTTCATTTTTTAATTACCGGTACAGATTATATTATTCATCTTTCAAACTACCTACTTTCATTTAAAAAAAAATTCATGTTCACAGGGCGATAGTGGTGGACCTATGGTAACTAAAGTTGGTGAAAACTGGGTGCAAGTTGGCGTAGTGAGCTGGGGAAATGGCTGTGGATATGAATCGTATCCCGGAGTATATGCTAGAGTTACATACTTTTCTGAATGGATAGAACCCATCTTTAACAATAGCGTTCCATCAAGACGTACGGTTTAAGTATTTATAACAAATTTAAGTTGTTGATATGTGTTAACTTACTCATTATTATAAAATTGTATATACTGTATGAATATATAAATAATATTCTAACTAGGTTTTCTGCGTATGCAGCACCTTAAACACAATACAGACAATAAGAAAGTATAATACATACTCCAAGTATTGAAATGCACGCCATCGTGTATTCAATATTTCGACATCAATTATGTCATCATTATAAACAAATAGTTAAATAGTAAACCAGTGCTCGAGTAGGAAAAAATGATCTTATAATCGTCTCAAACATAGCCCTTCTAAACTGTCAGACTGCTTTAATAAAAAGCTAACTTTTAAGTTGTATGAAAGAAATCTTCTCTGGCGAGATTCGATAGTGCAACCTCTCGCTATGAATGCGAGTCATACGGCGATCTTTGTATCCCCAAAAAAGGGCGTGGTAAAAATTACGTGGACATTAGTCTTACATCACTTTTCTGAGGCATAGGCCTATACTCTAATAGGCACAGATCAAAGCCGAAGTTACTTCTGTCATACAACTGACATTCGCACATTTGAGCTGTTAGTTAAGCCTGAAACTAGATGTTAAGTCGCAGGTTGGAAATCATACGAAATATTATTCAAATTAGTTTTGCTGCGTAGCACCGTAAACAGAATATATTTTTTTTTCTTAATTTTAATTAAGAGTCACATAGTCATTCAGAGACCTCTAAAGTACTTTCCGTCTGTTTTTTAGTACCCGGTGATAAATGTAACGATGAAGAATTCCTTTGCGAAGGTGGATATTGTATTGAGTATGAGTCAAAATGTGACGGCAGCAACACTTGCTACTTTGATACAGATGAAAAATACTGCGGTAAGTCGTCGCTCACATCACGAACTAACACAATTAAATTCAATATACCTTTCCGGAGTGTCAATCAAACTTAACAACTGACTAATCAGAACAGCGCTAGGAATACGCGCGCGTCTTACAAAAACACGCGTTGTCCCACAAACGCACGTGTTCGCGTATGTTTTAACACTGCTGACTTGTGGGACCTTAGCAACAATATCCAAGGGGCGGAGCTTAGCGGAAAGGTCCATTGTGTTAGTTCGTGAAATCAAAAGAGCGCGTCAAAATACGCGCTGTTGTTGTTAAGGACTTTTTGTGTGGTAAAGAATACAAAATTGCTTGACAACCAATACGCACTCGTTTTGACGCGCTACTGTGATTTCACGAACTAACACAATCTACTTTGATTGTGTTAGTTCGTGATGTGAGCGACGAAGTATGCTTCTTTTTCACTTGTAGTCCGACGATGGCGCGGAATACGCTGCAGTGGATGATGATAATGATGATGTTCTTGATGATAATGATGATGACAAAGATAATAATGATAATAATGATGATGATGATGATGATGATGATAATGATAGCGATAAAGTTTTATCAATACTATCTTGAGTTAAATAGTGTTGGATATAAAGGACATTAATAACACTCTCTTTATGGGTGATTAGTGTATATGCGTATTTTTTAATTGCAGAAACATATGTCAGATTTTTTGACTACAAGAAATCAAAGAAACTAATGATTTCAGATGACTACGAGGCATCGAGTCTAGATGAATGTGCCAAAATATGTTTAGAGTATGAAGCCTATATGTGCACTCAATTTGACTACCTTGACACAAGCGGAAGTAAAAACTGCAAACTAGGAAACATGTCCGGCATGGTAGAAGACAGTTCTGATGATGGGATAATGCATTTTGAGCTTCAATATTTTAAACGTAAGTTATTCCGTATTATGTTTACTATAATGTCCACAAACTTCTGTGAGTTGCTTTGTGTCCCATGTACATAAGATACAGACTGTATTAACAATCTGTATCTTATGTACAGATTGTATTAACAATCTGTACATAAGATACAGATTGTTAATACAGACAGAGATTAACATAAATCTATATATAATAGATTTAATTAATATAAAGTCATTTAAATCTCTTTTGCTAAAGCTAGGTATTCAATAAGAAACATACAGTTATTTTTCTAACAATTATAACAATTATGAAGTTGCTAAGTTCCATTAATAAAAAATTGTTTTGTTTTTGTGTGTGTTTTTCATCTTGATTGCTGTCCGAGGACAAAGTATTTCCATGGCTTTTGCTCTATGAGAATGACGACTTCTTGTTATCTTGCATCTTGCAATTGTTGATTGATTGATTGCGATTGGCCGGTTGATCTGTTAATCAGATAGTTGATTGGTTCGTAGAGGGTAATCAATACATTATGCCCACTATTTAACACAAGCACTGTAAACATAATCAATTATTATAACCGTTTATTTTCTGCTGTGATATCATTTTGTTCTTTGTAGAAGACGGCGCTTTATTCACCGGTAAAAGTGGTTCAATTGCTTCTCCGCGCTGGTCATCCTCAGGACCCGGTGGATCATGGTATTCCTGGACGATTCAAATCGCATCAACTTCTGTAAACATGATTGAGTTTGACTTCAGTGTGGTATACCCCAACTCAGAAGAATGTGGTAGCGTGAAAAATATGCTGATCGTAAGGGCGGGAAACGAGTCCAACTCGAAGCCAGTGGAAGCAAGCTGTGTGGAGATGATGGAAAAAGTGGTTATGGTAGTGGGCAGAGAAGCTAGAATTGACTTTTACACTGAAGATCCAGATGCCAATGGATTCCTTGTATCCTATAGCGGCGGTAAGTATTAAGCATGACAGTAATTTGGGTACTTCGTGATTTTTGTAACTTTTGAGCTTAATATTATAATTTTTAACTAGATTATATGAGAGTAAGAATTAAGCCATATAGACCATGGAATTGCCAAGGCCTTTACCCTTTATCCCGTAATTTGTTGTTTCTGATCTAATTCTCTTCTGAATCGTGCTGTATTTTGCTAGTTTAGGTTTGATGGCTTTGTGTAATAATAATACTGTAAACCTATTTTGTTCTTGGTTCTGTCGTTTTTGTTGTGGACCCTTATGGGAACAAACCTCAGGGATAGCTATTCTCTGCATTCCTTTCTCATTTTTTATTCAGAATTTAGTTTTTGCCGTTTTTATTATTGTATTTTGATATGTATTGAAGTGCAATAAATATCACAAACAAGCCTTATTAATTATCCAGATCATTAAGCCCTGTCCAGATTATCATTTGATTAAAAAATTGTATGCCCATATATAGTCATGATGTGATGTCATCGTGACCATATTAGGCAAGTCACGTTTTTTTGACACATTTTGTAGAATTCAATATCTGGCCAGGTTGTTTGTAGCACCACCACTCTATTATTGCCTTTGGAACTTTCAGTCTAATTCTCATACATCTATGTTGACAACTTTTTTATTTTACTTCCCAGCTGTGCAGTCGGAACAGTAAATAAAAGACGTTTACAATGATAATTCAAATACTAATACAATATCATGACAAGAATTAACGCTATAGACATTTATAATATATACACTATTAAAATCTTAAAAACAGCAAAAATCATGAACACAGGCAGTGATGCATCATTTATCGTTGTGCGAGTATACTCTATTAAAGATGTTATGAACACTGTATTGGAAGACGACTATGATGATGATGATTTTGATTATGATTATCATAATGATGATGATGAATTAATTTTCCTTATTGCCAAAAACTGACCTACGACCTAAGTCTCATTTAAGCAGATGATGTCAATAGAAAACTAAACGCCCCTTATAATCATTATCTTCCTTTTCCCCCTTCAATTAGTTTGGTTATGCGACAACACTTTCACAGAAGAAGGTAAAGTGACGTCACCAAACTATCCGGAAAACTATCCAAACGGTGCAACCTGCAAGACTCTCATCCACGCTCCCGAAGGAATGACCATACAATTACGCATGGACGACTTCAGCCTAGAAGTCGATGGTTTTCAGATAGGTGTATGTGATAGTAACTGGGATACCTTAAGTATCTATGACGGGAGTAATGATACTAGTGAACTGTACGGCGAGTACTGTGGTAGTTTGATCAATGGCACTTTTGTGTCCAGCTCAAATTCGATGTTTCTCGTATTCAAGTCAGACTCCAGTGCAACTGA